CAATGATCCTAAACCCTCACACCCCATACTGCCCCAATGATCCTAAACCCTCACACCCCAAACTTCCCCAATGATCCTAAACCCTCACAACCCAAACTACCCCAAGGATCCTCAACCCTCACACCCCAAACTACCAATGATCCTCAACCCTCACACCCCAAACTACCCCAATGATCCTCAACCCTCACACCCCAAACTCCCAATGATAATCAAACCTCACACCCCAAACTACCCCAATGATCCTAAAGCCTTACACCCCAAACTCCCCCTGCATTCCCAGAGACTCCAATATCCCTTGATTAAGAAATACACCTTAAATCATATTAAGGATCCTACTATAGTTTAAGGAATATTCCTCCCTAAACCCTAAACCCTAAACCCTATTCCCTAAACCCTAAACCCCAAACCTCTTTAATTAAGGAATATTGGAGTCTCTGCATTCAGGAAGGCTGCATTGCGGCTCTTCTGCAGCAGCTCATCGTCTGACATGTGTCGCAAGCCCAGCACGATCATGCCAGGCCTCGCAAAAAAAAAGGCAAAAATATAGAGACCTGTATAATGTAGGGGCCTTAATAAATAGAATAGGGTTTTGGGGGGTCCTTTATAGTATATTTTGTAATAAGGAACCCACCAAAATATAGGTAATTATAAACCCTAAACCCTATAAGCCCTGAGCCGTAAACCCTAAACCCTAAACCCGAAACCCTATAAACCCCAAACCCTACAAGCCCTGAGCCCTATAAGCCATGAACCCCATAAAAAATGTGGGAACCCTATTGAGGCCCTTGTCTAACTTGAATCGGGTCTGGGGGGTGCAGCTAGTTTTTGGAATGCGAGCCGGGCCCTGCAACATTTAAAACCAAGCCCCAAAAACCCAAACCCCAAAGGGTTTAGGGTTTAGGGTTTTGGGTTTAGGGTAAATCCTTAAACAACAATTCTCGAAACCTGGCTCGAAGGTTGTGGGCGGTGCCTTTTGAGCTTCGGGTTCAACGGTTGGGATGACCCTCTGAAGCCTTAAACCCTAAACCCTACGGAGGCTCGAGTTGCTCTTAACCGAAGATCTTGTATTTTGGCTGTCTGAATGCTGTGATGGGGCAGGCCCTCCCCATCTTAGATATCTTGTCACTGTTACACAACTGGTCCATGCCTTACTTCCCCAACAAGCCAGGAGAACAAAAGGTTAATTTTTCAGATTACTACTAAACTATAAGAGCCCAAAAAGTTTAAAGGTTGGGTATTGGAGGACTAAGCTCTAGAACCCTATAGATCCCTTTAAAGGAACCCTATATAGATCCCTTTAAAGGAACCCTGTAGATCCCTTTTAAAGGAACCCTACAGCTACGCACTCTCCCCCAGCATTCCCAAGGCCCTGGTCCCGCGCTTTGCAACACAAGGCCCCGGCACAAAGCAGCTCAGGTGATCCATCTTCCAGATGAGGCCTTCGAAGTATCAGAATCGTTTTTTTTAAGTGCACTAGTCTCTTTCTCCACCGCGAGACTCGCCCATTCGGGCATACACTACACAACAAGCGACTCAGAATCGTTTAGGGTTTAGGGCTTAGGGTTTAGCATGCATCACCGTGGCAGTAAGTGAAGATGCCACTGGCATCACGTAGTAAGGGTGAGAAGCACAGTGAGACTATAAGTATCGAGGCCACTCTCCACACGGCTGCGGGGCCTTGAACACCTTTACCCCTCCCTGCTGTTGGCTCCTATTTCTGACAGGCGTATGCACAACACAGCCTCCTTACCGAAATGGCTTGGAGTTGAAATTTCCGGGCCGCGGCAGAAGTGCTGTTTTGAGGTGAGCTCTTGTGTGGATCCTTGACGTCAACAGTTTAGGGTTTAGGGTTCAAAACCAGAACCCCTCTCGCAAGAAGTTTCCCCCGAAGCCTACAACAAGCGAATTCAATTTGGAATGCTGCGACTGAACGACATTTACAAAACTTGCAGATAGGGGATTGCATGGGGAAATCAGAAGAAAAGTCACGCTTGTATATGACTCCCCAATTAGGGGCGCTGGGTGTGCTGAAACTTCACGCCCTGACTCCTGAAGCCACCCAAAATCTGAACCCTAAACCCCTGAATCATGTACCCCAAAGCCTAAACCGTAAACCCTGTAAACCCCTATACGTCCCTAAACCCTAAACCCTAATTCTCGTGTGTTCCGAACCCGGAGTTTTTAGGCCGCAAACCTCCTTGGCGATTCATCTCTAGCAGCTGCAGCTTGCTGCTCCCACTGCCTGCTTGCCGGCGTTTTGGGGCCTCGGGTTTCGGGTTTTATCGGGTTTGGGTTTGGGGTTTGGGGTTGACTCTAAATCCTAAGCCCTAAACCCTAAACCGGGTTTGAGGGTTTAGGGCTTAGGGTTTAGGCTTCTATTCGGCTTTGATGGCTTGAGCAGCACCCTAAAACTTCAGCATGGTCCTTCGGGGCTTTACATTGCTCCCTTTCGATTCAAGATCTCTCTCTGCCAGTAGTTTCAAAGCCCAAACCCAAAACCCCTATTCTGACTCCTAAACCCTAAACCCCAAAATCCATAAACCTCAGCGGACCAACATGGCGCTACCCTAAACCCTAGACCCCCAAACCCAAGATTTAGGGTTTAGGGTTCAGGGTCGTGAACAGCAATACGATCAGCTCCACGGATCAGTCCACGCCAGAAAAGGGACCCTAATATAGAAAACTACCCAAAGGCGACCAAGAGCGAGTCCGTATTCACCAGCATTGTCTGCATGCGGTTCAGAATATGTTCCCGAGGCTTCTTCTTGGCAGGCTTTGTCACTTGCTCTATTGCATGCAGCCTCCGTCCAGAACGATAGGGAACCGCTCTGGCCCAAGCGTGACACTTGGCCATCAAAAGAAAGAAAGGGCTTGCTGCAGGCGGCTTTTCGGTGGTGGGAGGAAGCAGCTGAGTCAAGAAGGCCACAAGTAGCATGTGGATCTGCAACCATGCTTCGAGACACACCTGGATCTCTCGGACCTCTGCCACACCGTTCTGAAACATGAATCCATTTCGAGGTTTAGGGGTTTAGGGCTTAGGGCTTAGGGCTTAGGCCGAAGTGCAAAAACCCAACGGCCCACACCAGCAAACGATGACAATCAACGTGACCCTGCAACAAATCCGTTGCTGCAAGTCCAAAAAGCAATCCGAAAGCCTAAGGGAGACAGCCGATGTAGAAGCCACCCTTGCCCTTCTGGGGTGTGGGGTCCTTAGCGTTGTTTAGGGTACTTGGGGCTTTGGGGTTTGAGGTTAAATGTCTTACATGCCGAGGCATATACACACACACACACATGCAAGAGCGCGAGAGAGAGACAGAGAGAGAGAGAGAGAAAGAGACAGAGAGAGGGGGAGAGACAGAGAGAGAAAAAGAGAGAGAGAGAGAGAGACCGACGGGAGAAAGAGAGAGACAGATCGGGACACAGAGAGACAGAGCGAGAGTAGAAGAGTGGATTCGGGGGAGCGTCCTTGGCTGCGTGGATCTGGAACCACCAGCGAGGGCAGTGCATCCATGACTGCGAGCCTCACTGGGGGCTGAGGGCTCAGGGCACGAGGGTTTTAGGTTCATGCTTTAGGGTTGGATTTAGGGTTTA